GGGCGAAAAACTATATAGGCCTAGTTGGCATGATGTATCTTTAATTCTATTTTCACAGGCTGGAAGAAGCATTTGGCAAATCAATTAATTTTATTAATGATCGTCCAAGGCTAAGTTGCTTTTCTTACCAGGAATTTTCTCCAGGAATTTTCCAGTTAAAAATGTTGCAATAAATCTGGACACTTAGGCAAGTTTCAGAAAATCCTGGAAAATCAGAGATTACATGCAACTCTAAAACTATATTGTGCTTCGGGGTTAAAGTTTATGTTTAACAATTTCCAATAAATTAAAATAAGTTAGTATTAAAACACCTAGCTCTACTATTATTATCATTATTATGAATGTTAATTTAAAAGGCCCTACTAGAATAATTGAGAATTATTTAGTAAACCATTAATTTAGTGTCTGACCTTTGCTCATAAGATCATCATCCTGCACTATACAGAAACTTTTTCTATTATTAAACATACAATATTATTTATTCATAAACATTAATTCCCTGGTTTAAATATTCATAAAGAAATTGTCTTATTTTGCTGTGTACACAGGTGGTTACTCTCTTCCAAGAACCAAATTTTATTTTGATTACTCCTTTGAGTGTTAAATAAACAATGATGCATAATATCATTTCACTGTGCTATTCCCATTCAATAGTAAGTGCAATGGTCTATAAACTAAGAATCGCACTCTTAAAATAAACTACCGTAAACTTATAGGTTTTTGGTAGCTTTTTATTCCACAGTATTCCATATTTCAAACTGTGACTACATTACAATTTGTAAGAATACTGGCTCCATCTTCCCGCTTTTGTTAATTAATAATATGCATCTTTTTATTAACTGTTCCCAACTTTTCATTCAAACAAATAAAGGAATTATCTTATTTTGCTGTGTACACCAATGGTTACTCTCTTCCAAGAACCAAATTTTATTTTGATTACTCCTTTGAGTGTTAAATAAACAATGATGCATAATATCATTTCACTGTGCTATTCCCATTCAATAGTAAGTGCGGTGGTCTATAAACTAAGAATCGCACTCTTAAAATAAACTACCGTAAACTTATAGGTTTTTGGTAGCTTTTTATTCCACAGTATTCCATATTTCAAACTGTGACTACATTACAATTTGTAAGAATACTGGTTCCATTTTCCCGCTTTTGTTAATTAATAATATGCATCTTTTTATTAACTGTTCCCAACTTTTCATTCAAATACTCCTTCATTGTCTTAAAAAAAAATCAATTTATAATTTTGTTTTTAGCTGGAACCTGGCTTTAAACATTCATAATAATCACTTTCTTCATCATTTTTAAAGTCTTCTAAATACCACAAAAAACAATGTGGTGAATGTTATTAGAAGTGGAAAGTTAGACTGTACACCAGAGACCAGTTTTCAACGTTTATTTCCTGTACAATGCTTGATAAGGGAACAAAGTGATCTGTAGGGAATTGCTGGGCATGCTTTGTTGTTAGATGTTGGCCAAGGCCAAGGTAGAAGCCTAGAAGTCTTTTTTAATGTTTTAATAAATAATAGAAATATAAATCATGCTGTAACTGGTGTCTACATTAGCCAGCAACTATAAACTTCTTTTTCCTATTCACATCTACATCAAATACATTAGCATTTATATAGTGCTATTTCATGATGATCAAAGCAATTTTTGCTTTTTTTTGTATATTTAAAAAAAAAATTAATAATAATAATAATAATAGATGAAATAGATCTACGGCCAAATAAAATTAATTTTTGGAGCCGCATAGATTTTTTTGCTATTTGCTATTTTTTAATACATGACAAAAAATTATCCTTTTTCCGTGAAAAATGAAAAAATTTTTCGGTGGAAATACAGGCGGTCGCGACGAAACTTCTATGAATTTACAAACAGCAGCTGGATTGATAAGACTACTCTGATCGTCGTCTCGCCCACTCGCCCATCACACACGGTTTGGGGTTTTGTTGACAAGTCTCTCTTGTTTTGTGTGACGTGAGGATGGTAGACAACGGAAGAATACAGTAAGTTCCTCATTCTTCCAAAGGTACACTATAATCATAAAATTAACCATATAGTGGTTTAAGCGTGTGGGCCAAGGATGTCTACCTATACCAACATTGACAACGTGGCATCGACATTTAAGTTGAGTCAACCGCCTTGTGATCATCCGTCCGTACTGCTGTGTAGGCCTAGCCTACCTAGATTGACACAGTACGAGTGAGCAATCGTATTCATAATGTATCGTATGACAGCAGTAGCGAAAGTATGAGAATTTGATTTGATTTGATTTAGTAATGTTATGAATTCGGCTCAGCAAAAAACTTTATATAGTGTGGTAGATCAGTGTAGATATCCAGACGTTTCGACCCTGCCAATTAATGAAGTAGAGGCCTAGGCCTATTCTAATTTCTACTTCTCTAGTAATACACACTAGCCTATGATTCAAATAGTATTTCATCAGGCTAACAAGTATAGTAGCCAAGACGCACTAGACCTGCTGCACATTGGCCTACGCTAGCTGCAAGCTAGTCTGAGGATGATTGATGTGACATACCACACTACTGTACTTGGCCTACTGAGCTGCTACTACTATGTAGTGCTGTGTATTGAAGGCTGTAAAAAATATATAGTGATGATCATATGCATACCAAGTCCAGCTGTATGTCTCTGTTTAGTATTGCATAATATTATTTGAACATAAAATCTTAAAATTTGTTTTTTTTTTTTTTTTTTCCAGCTAGATGAAGGAAAAGGAAGTACCACCATCTCCTATCAAGAATGACTATGTATAAATGTCATGCCAATTTCTGCAAATAAAATTCAGGAACAAGGTATATATATGCCAAATTTAATACAGAAGATTCACAAACGTTTTCGGCCATAGGCCTTCATCAGGTGTACAGCATAAAAATGGAAAAACAACATATACAAATATAACGGACGTAAGACAAAGCAACATATGACGTGAAGCAACGCTATAACAGATAAAAGAACAATAGCCTTAAGGGCGTATGCCAAGCTACAAGCTTGACAGCAGTCAAGATAAAAACGCAGGAAAAATATACTATGGTAAAAATCATATACATATATATAAACTATATATAAGAAATAATAATATATAGGCCTATATGAATATAAAAATGAAAACGAAAAGAAAAAAAATAAACAGTATATAAATGAAATTTTAAAAAATAAAAAGAGCTGATCAAATAAAAGCAACAATAATCAAACACATGGTCCAAAATCCAAATCCAAACAAAATAGAAATTAATCCAAATCCAAATCCAAACAAGATAGAAATTAATTTCTATCTTGTTTGGATTTGGATTTCGATTTTGGACCATGTGTTTGATTATTGTTGCTTTTATTTGATCAGCTCTTTTAATTGTTTTAAATTTCATTTATATACTGTTTATTTTTTTTCTTTTCGTTTTCATTTTTATATTCATATAGGCCTATATATTATTTCTTCTTATATATAGTTTATGTATATGATTTTTACCATAGTATATTTTTCCTGCGTTTTTATCTTGACTGCTGTCAAGCTTGTAGCTTGGCATACGCCCTTAAGGCTATTGTTCTTTTATCTGTTATAGCGTTGCTTCACGTCATATGTTGCTTTGTCTTACGTCCGTTATATTTGTATATATTGTTTTTCCTTTTTTATGCTGTACAACT